TTTTTAACCTATTTTGTAAATCTGTTTCAGATTGATGTATTGCAAAATTCATATTTCATAATTTATTGCATCATATTTGACTTTTTTAAAGATTGGTAACTAACATTACGTTTGTAAAGACTTTCAGTAAGGTTATTATAAATTTTTCGTTGTAAATATGGTGAAATTATGTCTCCCATATTTGGACCTTTTGGATATCGCATAGTTGAGAGAAGGTTGATCGCTGGTAATAGATCTTTTTCAGGTAATTCTTGTATTGTTGAAGTTAAACGAGTTCGTTGCGAATGTTCTTTAGATACTTCATTGGCGGATACTTCATTGACGGATACTTCGTTGACAGATATTTCATTGACGGATGCAGATTGTTCTTTTAATAAATTATTTTTTTGACGTTTTTCGAGACGTATTTTATTACAATTTTTTAATTGGAATCGGCGTTTATATGATTTATAAATACCCATAATTCTTTGAATTACAATTTTCGAAGATTATAAAATATTTAATTAGATGTGCAGCCCTTAAACCCAGGTGTTTCAAACTCCAATTTTGCACGACACAAGGTTAAGTTTAAAAGAACAAAGTTACGAAGCCAAATAAATCTTTTTATTGAGAAAAATTATTGGTTACTTAAAAACTTTGCTGAGCGAATGAAGTAACGATTGCACGTAAAAAAGACCTAGGAAAAAAATGTATTTCCCATAGACAATGTTAAAATAAACTTCGTAACTTTGTAAATATAGTAACAACGAACGGATTGATATTAAAAGACTTTGAATAAAAGGAAGAATGCGTCCTGCACATCTAAAAAAGCAAAGTGCAGTTTTATATATAAAACATATTATATAATCGATCACTAAAAAAATCATTACTAATTAAAATATTTAAGGGACCACATATAGTTTGATTCACATAGTATATCGCACACCCCAATGAAGCATGACACGTAACAAGTACGCACTACAAAGATTGAGATCACTTCTATGAATAAAAAATATGCTACTACACTTCAAATTAACGTAATTTATTCATATATTAAAAGTTAATTTTCTATTATAACCTTTAGATCTAATACACTAGTACAGCCCTATGAAGCACTACCCGTTTTATTACTAGTAATAATTAAGATGGCATGCTAAAAACACCGAATATATCTTCAGAAGTGCACTCAACAGCATCAGAAAACGAACGATAAAATTCACATCTCCAATATACTGAAATCCAAAAACCAGCCTCACTTCCTTTTGGAGGTGCTTTGGTAGGGTCATATGTCCAGGTAGATGTGAATGGCGTAACTTGCCCAGGACCGGGACGATCACATCGCTGGTTATTTAAAAATTTTGGTTGATTTAAGAACCTAATTCTTTCTTTCACATCAGAACCAGTAGGACCAAAGGTAAAGTGACCGAGTCCTTGGGGTGCATAACCACTATCAGGAGTTTCAACCGTGATATTAAATTGCGAATCTGATATCCATGTGACATTTGTTATCCGAGCACCACATTCTATGGAAAAAAAATCTTACTCAAAGAAGAAATTGTGAACTCTATAACAATTAAAAATTGTTTAATACATACTGGTTTCCTTAAAATTACCAGAACAACCCGTACCAGCGGGATAACATTGACCGTGAGTTTTTTCAATATGGACAAGGAAAATAAACGCGAGCAAAATAAATAAAATACTAAAGAATTTTTGGTTCATGATTAATTTTGATATTTATGAATTATCACAATTGTTTAATGGAAGATTTATACAAGGCAAAGTGTGCAACTGACAAAAAATTTAAGTAATTGAGGATTTATTCTAATGTTACTTGTGTACGTATTTATATTCTTGCCTAAAAAAATCTTTTTGGTAAAGAATTTAAGGATTTGAAAAGTTATTCAAATGTTGCTCGTGTATGTATTGTATTTATATTTCTCGTCTAGGAAAATCTTTTTCTTATAAAAACTTACTCGAATCTTTATCAATGTCAATCCATTTCTCACTAAAAATGACTATTGGTTTTCGAATGCGACTAACTAGTATAAATTTAAGCTTTCTTTTAGGATCTTTGACTTCATTCTTAAATTTTACATAATATGATGCAATAAATTATGAAATATGAATTTTGCAATACATCAATCTGAAACAGATTTACAAAATAGGTTAAAAA